GGAGGCTGTTAATCATCATCCTTCATTGGTTCCAAGGATTCTGACTTTCAGTGAGAGGTGCATAACCTGGTTGTTTGTTCTCCTCTCTCCTTTTTTTTTTTTTTTTGGGTTGGTGTATTGCGTATATCTGACTGGCCGGAGGGGTGAACCGGTCAGTCGACATGTATTATAACGCATCTTTTGAGTAGCCAAGTATCCATTCTCCTTCCGCCCATCAACCTGTCACAGTATTTGTGAAGAGTTTATGAGCCATAGGCCGCTGCCATGTTAATAAATATTTTAAGAAAAAAGAATGAGCATGGAGACCATAAAAAAGATGAATGAGGGAGAAACGACAAAAAAATTTATGGAACGTTTTTGGAACATTGCAATGTTCTTGTATTGGATTATAGTATCTAGTATTCAAAAAAAAAAAAAAAAAATGCCTGCATCTCTTATTTATTGTAAGTTTTTAAATGTATAAATTGTCTTATATTTCTTAACCTCTTTTATAAAAAAAAAATTTCCTAGAAGGTTTATACTGCCTTCTTGCTTTAAAGCAATTGGTCTAAAATTATATCTGTAATCGTCTTAATTGAAAGTTGCGGTAGGTTGCTTTTAGAGTATTATTTTTTTGTAAGCGGGTGGGGAGGGTTGGGGACAGCAAAAATTTGTATTTGGTCTTGATGTACAGTTTAATGGGGAATATAGGAAGTGGGGAGGGATAGAAATGTCCATACCTTTGTGTGTGGGAGATTTACAGCTAAGCTGTAGTTGCAGATTATACGTGTACAGTAATGAAGTTCACTGTGTTTATATAAAATTGAAGAAAAAATAAAGGTACCAGGTCTTACAGCAATTTTATATCACACATTTGCAGAGTTAACATAATGGCAATATATTAAAAAAAGTGATATTGTTAGGTGGTTTAACTTGTAGTGAGAATTTAAAGAAGAAAATAATAATAAATTGTTTTATTTTATTTTATTTTATTTTATTGGTATTTCTGTTGAGGGCCGAGACTAACTTTGGCAGATTCCCTTCCCTTTTTCTTGAAGGAAGGTGGATGTGCTTTAACTACAAGGGCCTCTGATGTTTCTCACTGTGTGCATTTTAGCCAAGACAGAATCTGTGTCATCTGATGAAATTGCGACACTTTTTTTCTAAAACAAAGAAATCCTTGCCCTCAATAAACTGTGTCACTTTCATTTTCAAGCATTTGTGTTTGTCACTAATCAAACTTCTTGGGGGTCAGAATTATGGGGAAATTTCTTCTATCACAATCCTTTCTCTTTCAGGCCGAAACGTTAGTTTAGCTCAAGCCATTTTAAAAATGCTAAAATCAATTGCAGCTGTAAGAAAACCAGTTGATTTTGATTTCTGAAGACTACAGTTAGTTATTAATTTAAATAGATTTTCACTAGATTCTTTCAGAATCGATTCCATTAATGCAAGTTCAGTCTTCTTTTTTTAAAAAAAACCTACCTCTCTCCATGCTTTGATTTAATCTTTGTTGTTTGCACATTGTAGTGGAAACTCTTAAGCTTATCTGTATATGGCCTTTCCTTTTTTAACTAAGCGGTTGTGTCCTGGTATGATGAAAACACAAAAGGATGTGAAAAACCATAAAACCGTTCACTGCTTCCTCTAACTCTTTCTATCAATAAACCCTTCCTTCCTTCCTTCCTTCCTTCCTTCCTTCCTTCCTTCCTTCCTTCCTTCCTTCCTTCCTTCTTCTGTCCCCCCCCATCCTTTTCCTTCCCTCTATCCATCTTCTTTCCTTCCTCCCTCCCTCTCCATCTTCCTCCCTCCCTTGTTGCTCTAGTTAGTTGTTAAGGCACCTGGTAGATCATAACTGGACTGGGTGACTCTGGATCAATCACTAGGAGATGGTGAATTCTAGTCCTGCCTCAGACATGAAAGCCAGCTGGGTGACTTTGGGTCAATGACCAGGAGACAGTGAGTTCTAGTCCCACCCTAAGCACAGAAGCCAGTTGGGTGACTTTGGGCCAGCCCCCCCCCTCTCAGTTCAACCTGTGTGTATGTGTGTGTGGGGGGGGGGTGGGGATAGGAAGAGGAAGGAATATTAAGGCATGTTTGTTGCTTTGGATTATTTATATGACGCATGGCCTCAGGAAACTGCAACAGTCATAAATACATTCAATTGCCAAGTGTTTTAAGTGTTTTGATCATGTGACTACTTGGATGCTTTCAACGGTTGTAAGTGAAAAATGGACATAAGTCACCTTTTATCAGTGCCATTGTAACTTTGAATGGTCACTAAACGAATGGCTCTAAAGTTGAGGATTACCTGTATTCAAACACGTTCAACTACAGTATAAACTTGTTCAAAAGTTGCACCTGACAGTTTTCTGTTCCAGCACAGCAATCCTGTGGCATTGCCTATTATTCTATTAATATTAATTCTATTAATATTTTCTGTTCCAGCACAGCAGTTCTGTGGCATTGCCTATTATTCTATTAATATTTGCATATTATTACTTATTCTATTCATATTTGGCAAGGTTTCTCAACCAACGACATTCTGCTAGAGACGACTTTGGACTTGATTTCTCAAGATTGTCCAATGATTGAATTTTATACATAGTGTCTGCCCTTTTACGTACTAGCAGAATGGGTTTTTCCACCCCAATCTCCTTCCAGAAACACCAGATCAGAGAGAATAATTTGAGAGAAGAACAATAAAAAATGTGCAATTCGAGTGAAATTCAATTCACATAAGAGAATAACAGGGTTGGAAGGGACCTTGGAGGTCTTCTAGTCCAGCCCCCTGCTCAGGTAGGAAGCCCTATACCATTCAAGACAAACGGTTGTCCAATCTCTTCTTGAAAACGTCCAATGTTGAAGCATGCACAACTTCTGGACACAAGTTGTTCCACTGGTTAATTGTTCTGTCAGGAAATTTTTCCTTAGTTGACACTGATTTTAAAAATAGCATCTGTGTCCAATGAACTGAAATCCCTAAAAAACTTGCAGGAAATATTAGTTTGCACTTGTTGCTATGCCAGTAACATTCCAGTGGAAGAAAATAAATTCCTTGGGCTGAAATGTTCAAGAAAATGTTAATAACTCATAGGTTTTCCAAATAAACCAGATCTGAGAACTTGGCATTAAAAGAAGCAAAGTTCCTGGAAATGTTAGTTTCACAGCTGTTTGTTTTTTTTTAAACAAAAGCTGAATCACTTTAACTGGATGAGTGGAGAATTCTTTTTCAGTATCATTTAATACTTGTTTTTTCCCCTCCAGTATTTAATGCTTCAAGTCACTTTCTTCATTGAACATTATGGTAAATGGGATGAAAAACTAAAAAGAAAAAAGAAATTAGGAATAAAGTGTTGTTACAGAATGCCAACTTGTACAAATTGTGATTCAGGGAATGGAAACAGGTTTCTATACTTTTAAGAATTAAATTCAAATGGAATAAATTATTCATGAAGTCTTCCTTGATTTTCATGTCTTGATTTTGGGAATGATAACGTCCGACCTTAAAATGGCAAAAAGGTTGTAAAATCAGGTGTGATTCATTTAACAACTGCCTGGCTTAGCGGTGGTCCCAATCGTAATCATAAGTTGAGGATCTGTATCGTCACCTCTTGGGACATTTTCCTGCTTGGTATCTCTCGGTATCCTTTCCAGGTATTAATCAAGTCTGCACCGCTTCAGAACCCTCCTATTGACTAATTTTCCTGCCTGTGAACCTCTATTTTCTGCCCTGTGTCCCTTCCCCGTTGAAGACAGGCACAGGCTGTGGGGATATGTCTGTTGTCTGCATCTCAAACTGAAATGCAAATGGTTCTTGTAGTCTGCAATTTTTCTGGAAATCCATTCATGCACCTGCACCATTCAAAGGGTTTTCATCCCAACGGTGTGGGAGTATGAACAGATTCCCAGAAAAATTGCAGACTACAGGAACCATTTGCGCTTTAGTTTGAAATATTTGAAACATAATACAAAGATCTTCCATCAATTCCCCTCCCCTCCCTCCATATAACTGACACTCCAGGTATTAAGGATTTCATCTTGTTGAGTTTCACAGCAACCCAAAACCCACCAATGTTCGGAGGGTTTCCACCAATTTCCGGCAATCCATAAAGCCTTCCAGATATTTAGGTTAGAAATATAAGTAGCCCCAGAAACTACTTGTTTTTAAAAATCCATTTATTTAAATCAGATATATCCAACTTTGGCAACTTTAAAACTGGCTGGGGAATTCTGGGAGTTGAAGTCCACAGAAAATACAAATGGATACCCCTGATTTAAAACATTTGATTAGATTACATTAACAGTTGGAAGGGGTCTTGTAGGTCATCTAGTTCAACCCCCACCCCAAAGCAGGAGACCCTACACCATTTCTGACAATTGGCAGTCCAGTCTCCTCTTGAAAGCCTCCAGTGATGAAGCTCCCACAACTTCCGAAGGCAACTTCTGTGCCATGGGTGGATTGTTGTTCTCACTGTCAGAAAATTTCTCCTTATTTCCAGGTGGAATCTCTTCTTGTTCAGTTTCCATCCATTATTCCTTGTCCGGCCTTCAGAAAATAGCTTGACCCCTTCCTCCTCTCTGTGGCAGCCCCTCAAATATTGGAAGACTGCTATCCTGTCTCCCCTGGTCCTTCTCTTCCCTAGACTAGCCAGGCCCAGTTCATTTGTATACCACCTATCTTCCCTAATATAAACCTGGCTGGCTCAGATCAGTAATAAAAGGGAGAACAAAAGCACATAAAACAACCCAACGAAACATACGCGATGTCCCACACGCAGCACACATATGAATGAAAGTATGTGCAACAACAAACATGCTTCCAGCATTCACCATTCTCAAGCCGGCATCGATTTGAGGGCGGAAGTGAAGCCAGTAAAGGAGCGACTTCCGCCCTTACGGGGGTGGGGCTACGTGATCTTTCCCCCCCTCCTCGCCGGAAGTGACATTTTCCTTGCCTTTTGGAGCCGTTTGGCGTAAGTAGAAGTGTTTTAACCCGGAAGTAGTGTTTCCCAGGCGGTTTCGCTTTGTAAGCGAATGGGGATGCGAAGCCGCGAAAGAACCCCCGTTCTTATGGCGGGCGGGGAAGGGGAGCTTCCCCTGTGAGGGCGGCACTGGCTCCCTTTTTCTTGCTTTCCCCCGCGTCTATCCTTTAAGTTTATATTATATCCCGCTTTCTCTTCCTTCAAGTGCTCAAGGGGTTTTTCATAGCATTCCCTCCTGCTCATTTCCCCGCACAACAACCCTGTGAGGTAGGTCGGGCTGAGAGAGAAAGAGGGAGAGGGAGGGACTGGCCCCAAATCCTTGAGGCACCTTCCCTGGTTGAGGATGGATTTTGTTTTATATCTGAATGAATGAATGAATGAATTCTTTATTGGCCAAGTGTGATTGGACACACAAGGAATTTGTCTTGGTGCAAATGCTTTCAGTGCACATAAAAGAAAAGAGACATCCGTCAAGAATCATCAGGTACAACATTTAATGATAGTCATAGGGTACAATAAGCAATCAAATCATACAGTCAATATAAATAGTAAGGATACAAGTGACAAAGTTACACTCATACAGTCACAAGTGGGAGGGGAGGGGTGATAAGGAGTGATGAGAAGGTTAACAGTAATAGTAGTGCAGACTTTGTAATAGTTGAACATTGTTGAGGGAATTATTTGTTTAGCAGTGGGATGGCGTTTGGGGAAAAAACTGTCCTTGTGTCTAGGTGTTCTAGTGTGCAGTGCTCTATAGTATCGTTTTGAGGGAAGGAGTTGAAACATTTTGTTTCCAGGATGTGAGGGGTCTGTAAATACTGTATTTTCCCAGCCCACTTTTTGACTCCTGCAGTATTCAGGTCCTCAATGGAAGGCAGGTTGGTAGTAATGTTTTTTTCTGCAGTCTGCTGTTCTGATTTTTTAAAAAAGATGTTGAGACTCTTGAAAGAGTGCAGAGAAGAGCAACCAAGATGACGAGGGGACTAAAACATATGAAGAATGGAGGCTAAATCATATGAAGATTGGTTTCTGGAATTGGGTATGTCTAGTTTGATGAAAAGAAGGACTAGGAGAGAGACATGATAGCAGTACTGCAATACAGGTAGTCCTCAACTTAACAACCACAACTGAACCCCAAATTTCTGTTGCCAAGAGAGACCTTTGCTAAGGGTGTGTTCTCCCACTTAATGACCTTTCTTGCTCCACTAGTTAAGTGAATGGCTGTTGTTAAGTGAATCTGACTTCCCTGTTGTTTTTACTTGTCAGAAGGTCACGAAAGGGGATCAAGTGACCCCGGGACACGGTGACCATCATAAATAGGAGCCAGTCACCAAGCGTCTGCACTATGATCAGGTGGTGACCATGGGGGTGCTGCAATGATCATCCGTGTGAAGAACGGTCATAAAAGTCACTTTTTTCAGTGCCATTGTAACTTTGAATGGTCACTGAATGAGGTGTTGTAAGTCGAGGACTACCTGTATTTGAGGGGCTGCCATAAACAAGAGAGAGTCAAGCTGTTCTTCAAAAAAGCACCTGAAGGCAGAACAAGAAGCAACAGATGGAAACTGATCAAGGAGAGAAGCAACTTAGAACTAAGGAGAAATTTCCTGACGGTCAGAACAATTAACCAGTGGAACAACTTGCCTCTAGAAGTTGTGAATGCTCCAACACTGGAAGTTTTTAAGAAGAGATTGGACAGCCATTTGTTCTCAATGGTATAGGGTTTCCTGCCTGATTCGGGGGCTGAACTAGAAGACCTCCAAGGTCCCTTCCAACTCTCTAATTCTGTTATTCTGTAATGCTTTTCTGATAAACTTAAAACAGTCTCTCAGCTTCTCCCTTCTCCCATTGAAGTTCACAATAATCCTGTACATTAGGTTAATCTTAAGAAAGTGGGAGATCCAGTGGCTTCCATTGTACTGTCTCCCACACTAACTGTCCCCTTGACATCATGAGGAAAGAAAGAATATTGCCTGGTTTGAGTGGGAAATGCTTTTATTTTTGTATGCGATCACTGATATTGCTCTTTCCGCGTACATGATATGCGGTGCATCAGTCTAACAGCGGACAGTTAGCAAAAGTTGCAGGGATCAAGGCAAGAAGGATAAAACTGATAATTAGCCAGTGTTTTTGGTCATTTATAAAAAAAAATTTCCTACTGGAATGACTTGATAAATATGCAGACTCGTGTCATATTGCAAGGTACTGTTAATACAATTGGCTGCTCAAAAAAAAATAATGATATTGCCCCAAACTCTTAAAAAGCAACTTGGTTTGAATATGAGAAATAGATCTCTATATGACCGAAAGAAAAATTCTTTAAGCAGATACATATTTAAAATTGAAAATTACGCTTAGTGTCCTGTTTAATAACATGTAACATATAACAGTGGATTTTTTTTGGCATTGAGTTGTATGTATTGATTATCCAGGAAGGTAGAATTTGGTAAACCTCAATAGTTTGCTATATCCACACCTTTGGTTTGTGGATAGGAAATTAAATTAAAGAAATTGGAAGCCACACAATACTCGCTGCTAAGTTTCCAAAGCAGTTTTTCCAGCCTAGATGGAAGTCACATGGCCATGCCCACCTATCCAAGGACCTCTCATTTCAACCTTGAGCTACAAATATTCTCCTTTATGGAAGTTTGTCCTGTCTGTGTTTGTGTGTGTGTGTGAGTGGGACTATTTTATTTTCCAAGCTCTTTCTTTGTTGTGGTTTTCAGGAGCCCCTGGCAAAATGGCAGAATGTTCAGCTCTTCAGTTTGTCAGCCCTTACGCCTTCGAAGCCATGCAGAAGGTGGATGTGGTGCGTTTAGCGGCACTGAGTGACCCGGAGCTCCGATTGTTGCTGCCTTGCTTGGTGAGAATGGCCTTGTGCGCCCCAGCTGACCAGAGCCAGAGTTGGGCCCAGGACAAGAAGCTCATCCTCCGCCTGCTTTCAGGGGTCGAAGCCGTAAACTCCATTGTAGCTTTGCTCTCTGTGGATTTTCATGCTCTGGAACAGGATGCGAACAAAGAGCAGCAGCTGAGGTAACGCTCCACCGTTTTGCTTTCCTCGTGGCGGTTTTTTAAAAAAAGTGCTTATAGCAAATTGGAAAAGGCAGCTTTTCTGTTCTTCTCTTCTTAGACATAAGCTTGGTGGAGGCAGCGGAGAGAGCATTTTGGTGTCCCAGCTGCAGCACGGCCTGACTCTGGAGTTTGAACACAGCGATTCCCCCCGGCGGCTCCGTCTTGTGCTGAGTGAGCTGCTGGCAATTATGAATAAGGTGAATTTGACCTGACAAGATCACCTCTCTTTTGGGGATGTTTAAAGCTATGTTTTTCTTCCTCCCTCCCTCCGTCCCTCCCTCTCTTTCTTTCCTTCGTCTCTTTTTTCTCCTCCCTCTTTTTCTTTTTTTTTTCTTTTTCTTTCTTCTTTCCTTCCTCTTTTCTCTCCTTCCTCCCTCCGTCTCTTTCTTTCCTTCATCTCTTTTCTCTCCTCCCTTCCTCTTTTTCTTCCCTCTTTCTTTTCTTTCTTTTTTTCTTCTCTTTCCTTCCTCTTTTCTCTCCTCCCTCCCTCCTTTGCCCTTTCCTCCCTCCCGCCTCCCTCCCTCCTTTCTTTCTTCCCTTTCCATCCTCTTTTCTCTCCTTCTTTCCTCCCTTCCTCTCTTTCTTTCCTTCATCTCTTTTCTCTCCTTTTGTCCCCTTTTTCTTCCCTCTTTTCTCTCTCTTTCTTTCTTTCTTTCTTTCTTTCTTTCTTTCTTTCTTTCTTTCTTTCTTTCTTTCTTCCTTCCTTCCTTCCTTCCTTCCTTCCTTCCTTCCTTCCTTCCTTCCTTCCTTCCTTTCTTTCTTTCTTTCTTTCTTTCTTTCTTTCTTTCTTTCTTTCTTCTCTTTCCTTCCTATTTTCTCTCCTTCCTTCCTCCCTCCTTTGCCCTTTCCTCCCTCACCCCTTCCTTCCTTTCTTCTCTTTCTTTTCTTTTCTTTTCTTTTCTTTTCTTTTCTTTTCTTTTCTTT